CTCATTTATTTATTATAATCTAATTAATAATTATTATTTTTATTTTTTATTAATTAAATTAAATAAAATTAGTATTTTTAAAAATAATACTTTATAATTTTAATGACATCCTTATTAGTCGTCATAACCGCGTGTCAAGCAGTTAGTTTGAAATTTGAAGATAAAATTAACACAATGAAAATTCCATCCATACTGCTTGACTGTTTAACAATTATTCCATTAGGTTATATATTTCTTAGTAATGGCAATTAGGTCTTTAACCTTATTAAGTTTCAATTAGATCTCCATATCATTTATCATGGATTATGGAAGCTAGTGCCTTTGACTTAATTTTCAAATAATATCCTAACAAGTAATTTGCATTAAGAGACTTCATTATCATCTACACATGTCACATGCATTGCAGTAATTGAAAGGTTAGGGGACCTGATTGAACGTTCACCAAAAGAGTAAGGGTCATATGAGCAATTACCTCAAGAAAATGGGATGAGATGAGAAAGTAAGAGAGACAAATTTTCCCAATATTCGCTGTCATTGGGACTCATCGAAATACCATGCCCCCATCTGCTCATCTCTCTTCCTCTGCAACAGTTAAATTTTAAAATCCATTCTCTCCTCAATCTCCATAGCTTTTTGTAATAACAAATTGACTTTGTTGTTTTTAAGAAAAGGGGTTTCCCATTTTTTTACCAATTTCCAGAGGCACAGACCACAGAGGAGAGAGAAGGGAAGGCCCTGATGACTACTGATTCTTCTTCTCTACACACAAATGCTACATAAACAACATCAGCGCCATTCTGAGATATCAGATCAAAATCTTTATCCTTTCTCTTTAGCACAGACCACAGTTCAAACCCTAATTCACTACAACCTTTTCCAACATCCAAAGTGCACACAGTCGGGAAGAAGCAAGGCATTGTGAGAGGTTTTCGATTCTCAGGGCTGTTCTTTTTCCTACACAAAGGTAAGATTTTACTTCATTTTGATATCAATAATGCACCAAGACTATTCATGTTTATATGCATTAATTAGTCCATTATGGAAAGTTCACCAAGACTATATATTGATCATGTTTATATGCATTAATCAGTTCATCATGGAAAGTTGACAAGCATGCATTTTTGCCCTAAAAATCTGTGTAGTTTTAGGAGTAGGACATTGAGTTTGCATGGCCAACATTTGTAATGAATCTCTGTTTTATTGCATTGATTTTATGCCTGGATCCCAACACACACCCACCCCACATACGGACATACCCATTTTCTTCTAGCATTTACTCTCTTTTTCTTCTTGTGGGGTTCACTCATGAGAAAACCAATATATGTTTCTATTATTCTATAAGCTTCTCTTCATCATCATCAAATTATATATCTCTCTTCATGACAAATAAGTTAATAAAACGAGTCGTATGATGATTTTAAAAGTACCTCTTTTAATTTATTAATAATGTTATACTTAACCAAGTTATTAACCCAATATTATAACCAAAAGTTTAGATTTAAAGCACTAGATATATTATATTATATGTATGCACTTAGATTAAGTATATGATATAAATAGTGTAGTACTTTTCTGTCATTAATTATTATGAACTGTATAAACAACAAATTTGAGCTTATTTCAGTACAAATCTTAATTAATTAGTCAAACTAGCTTCAAGGGAACAGAAGATTTTAAATTAAGCTAAAGTAGATTCCACTCTACTAATATCATAAATAAAGCATATTAAATTTGTAGTTTTTCTTTCCTATTCTACTTGCTTTATAACGTGGGCCACGTAGTACGGTCCATGTTTCTTACCTTGTGACCCATGTGAATGAGAGAATCCTTTCATGTTTTTCAATATTCTTCAAGGTCTGCCATGATTATTAATCCATGATCTGTTCAAATTTCATTTTTTCTAAGCTTCCAAGCAGCTCATTCAATCTACAAAATTCTCAGTAAAGATTCCACTAACTTCATATTCTTTCAAGTGTCAAATTATTGCATCATTTAACTAATTGAAGAAGAGGATTGCCTACTATACACACTCTTTTATTTTTCTCAATTTTTTTTAGCTTAATATTTTTACTGTTTAGATTATAAAGCATTACTCATTAAATGATACTTTCACATCTTATTAACAAATAAAAAAATACAAGCAATCATTTTTTTACATACTTTTTTAATACTTAAAATATAATTGATTCACAAGAGTTAATGATTTTAAGTTTAAATAACATAACCAATCATATGCACTAATTGCTTTTCAAAAAAAAATCATATGCACTAATTATAGAGAAAATATATGTCATATGGATCAAATTCAATCATATTTTGTGAGTGTTGGTGAAGATTACAAAAAAGGATTGTGGATAGCACTTCTCAATAAAAATAAATCAATCAAAAGCTGAAAAGCTGAATGCAGAGGGGAAGAGTCTTTGTTGGTAGTGCAGTGGAGGGATTTGTTGCGAAGCTAAAATAAGTATGAGACATCAAGTGTCGAATCTGTTTACCAAAAATTATGTTAAAGGCATTTTGTTACATCAACTAGTTTATTGTCTCGTCTCCTTCACCTTCCATTTTCAACCTCTATTATTTTCATGTTTCCCCGTTTTACAATTTTACCCCTCAGTCCCCTTGCCCTATCCCACCAGCACAAAACCAAGTCTTTCTTTCTTTCTTTCTTTCTTTCTTTCTTTCTTTCTTTTGTTAAATGCCAATTTTAGTTTTTAAACTTTTAATTTTCAACACTTTTAGTCTTTGAACCAATTTTTTGTATTTTTTAAATTATTTCATCAATTCATTTATTAAGTATATCATATATGCATATTTTTAGTTTCTATAAGTTAAGAAACTAAAAATGTTCATATATTATGAGTTTATATATTAAAAATATGTATATTTAAAATTAACTTAATGAATTAACTGACAAAATAATAAAAAAATATACATTTTTGTAAATTAATGGACTAAAAAAAAGTAAAAAATAATTCAAAGATGAAATTTGTTTAAAATTCTAAGTTGAGAAACTAAACTTGACATTGAACTTTTTTTTTCTTTTTTGTGTTGCATTAACTTTTTTAGTTATCCAATCAAATTAATACATAGCAATATAAACCTGCCTCACCAAATAACAAGCATAAGATCACCAACCAATTTCATTGCACAATCAAAGCAAAAAAAAAAAAAAAACCCAAAACAAAAAAACAAGGTCATACTTGTCATTTGACGCGCCTTTCTAAAGTTGTCAATCTGCGAAAACAGGGAGGTTTAGGTAACATTCCAAAAGACCAAACTCCAACAAAATGCTTCCCTCACTCCCCACTCCTCCCAACTCCCCAAAACCAACCACTGCAGTTGCGTCCCTTCAGGTGAACTTCTGCGCAGAGACTTGAATTTACAATGACATAATTATTTTTTCAAACTTCTGCAGGTTGTTCATGACAACAGAGAGCTGATTGCTCAATATCAGCACAGTTCATCAAGAGATCAAATGGAGAAGAACTTGCCTAGAGTTTCACGTAAAGATGGGAATGGGACACAGGAAGTGGGGGCTTCCAGCGCCAGTAGCACTGGACAAGGACCACCCACGTTGACTTGGAAAAGCAGCAGGTACGATGATGCCGCTGATCGCTACGGTGGAGGAGATCCAATAGACTGTTCCGGTAAGTACTGCCGCTCATGCACCGCGGGGTTGATAGCCGACTGTGTCGCCATCTGTTGCTGCCCCTGCGCGGTGGTCAACCTTCTGACGCTGGCATTGGTCAAAGTTCCGTGGAAAATGGGGAGGAGGTGTTTGGGGCTAGGGAAAAAGAAGAGGAAAAAGCTGGAAACGAAGAGAAAAGGAAGGAAGAGTGAAGATTGCGGTGTGGGGGATAGAAATGGAGATCCGAGAAGGGGAGGGATAGAGGAGGGGTTTTTGGAAATATTGTCAGGGTTTGACGGGGAAGAAGAAATGTGTGAGGTAGAGAAGGTTTGGTTAGATCTTTACGAGGTCGGTCAGTTGGGTTTTGGGAGGGTTTCGTTTACAGGGGGTTGAATTTAAATCTTAGATTAATTAGTGGTAAATTTGAAAAGAAAAATTAGTTTGGGGCTGTAAATCTCATTTTCCTTTTCAGTTTTGGTAAGTTAATTAACAGTTAAAATTAGTTTTTGCATTTTGGATGGTTAAGTATTGTTGGAGAAAAATGTGTTAACTGCATTTTACTTTTTCACTAAATAAAAAATGAATCATCTTCTCTCGCACCATGGGTAATAAATGAAAAGGCTTTTTAATTGAAACTTTTAGCATATAAATTGAAGGTGCAATAAATATGATATTAGGGATAAATATAATATTAATTTTTTTATTTTATTTTTATATATGACTTGCATTTTGTTTGGATTGAAAAACTTAGAGGAAAAGGGAAGAAGAGTGAAGGGAAGAGAGTGCATTTAGTACCAACGATCTGTTGGTCTGAATAAAAAAGTTTGATTTCTTTTAAATAAAATTTTGAGTTCGAATCTTATAAATAAATAAACAGATATTGAGAGAAGTTTTTTTGATTTCGAATTAATCAAAATTTAATGTAATTATCAAATACTAAAAGGTTAATACCAAAAAAAGAATGCATTTAGTTGTTTAATAGAGGGGAAGGGGAAGAAGTCTTCTCTCCTCTTCTATTTTCAAATTTTCTAATTCAGAGAGATTGAATGAATTATACTATTCAATTTATTTTTCTTAATATTTTTTAAAAAATAAATAAATATAAATATTTTATTTCAACTCTTTAGTTAATTAATAAATTTTAAAATTTTTTCTTTTTAATTTTATTTTTTTAATTATATAATTATATAAAAATATTATTCTTACCTCCCTTTCACTTTTATTTATCTAAATAAAATTAACATCAATCTTTTACTTTTCTACACTTCTCTTCCCCTTCTTTTCCTTTCTTTTACTCTTACTCATTTTTGTATACATAGACGCTTAATGATTACAATGAGTATTAATTACAATTTTAACTCATGATCTAAGAATATAGATTTAAAAAATCCATAATGAAAGGGGAACTAGATGAGGTGCGGTGGATGGTTACATAAGAGTTAGGACTCGAGGGAACTTCAGCCAGCACAGCGGCAAAAGGATCTCAAAACAAAGATGTTGAAACATTGATCTCCTCTCATAACCTGGACACAGGCATGATGGATTTTGGAAGAGCATACAGAACTTTAAACTAATTCAGCAAATTATCCAACGAGGCAGTAAAGAAACCATAATATATAAACAGAGTTTCCAACTTTCAACTAAAATCAACTTATCATAGAAGAAATGTAACTAACTACTTAAATAGTCGGTGATAACTTTTTTCTAGCAAAATAAGAGTCTTAAATTTGAATAACAAACTATCCAAGTAAATGAGTTAATGAATGAAAGATAATTATCTTTTATTATAAAATTTTGTTTTTGTTTTTCAAAAAGAAGTAAAAAAAGAGAAAAAAAAAAGAAAGAAGATAAAAAAAAAAATGAAAAATAAGGTGAGAGATTTTAGGCAAAAACTTTAGAATAGGTTAGAAGGGATTTGGAAACGGAGGGAATTGGGTTAGAAAAGGGTTTGGGATTGTATGTAACAACCTTTATATACAAAAAAGTGTTTTATAATTTGAAACAGTTCAAACCGCAAAACACTAACTTTTGATGCGGGAGGATCTTTAATATTGGAGGCCCTCCCACGTCAAAGGGTCCTTATTTTATAGTTCAAAACAATCTAGACCGTAAAACATTCCTTTCCTTTATATATAACAAAAAGAAGGCTATAGTAACTTGATCATGTATTCATAGAAACATAGTCCAAAAATTATTCTCTGTAGTATATATTCCTGAGGAGCTGATGATGACTGGTGATGAAACATATGCAACTAGTTTCAATAGCTACTAGAACAAAAAGCAACTTGTCTATGCGACATATACCCCTACCCACAAAAACAGTAACACCACTAACTGAATCCAACATCCTAACAAAAACTAATCTCTCCACCACCTGAATATGTATCAAGAGTTTATCCAGACAAGATTAACTGTTAAGGTGTACAACTTATGAACCGCAGAGGCCTTGTATATTTGCTATATCAACAATCACGATGAAGATCTAGACATGCTGCTTACCTTCTCCAAAAGGTCTCTTATCTCATCCTGTAACTTGGATTTAATGCCGGGGGACATTTTTTCATCTGACGTTTCCAGCATTGATATCAGCATCTTCAGTTTGTCTCTGATGTAGTTAAGTTGGGATGCCTCATCCAGTGATGCTTGGGAAGCAGGTGACTTCTCTGTTGTTTTGACTGCCTCCTTGCTTCCAGAAGGTTTTGCTTTAGTTCTCTGCCTGTGCTCAGGACCTCTGGATGCACTTGATATATGGCGAAGCTCAAAACTGGCAGTGGCAACACCGAAGGGATTGACACTTTGTGAACTTTTGAATGCTTCTTTTGCATCAGAACTGCTTTTAAAGACAACTCGAGCACAGAAATTAGCATTAAACATTTCTGTCTCCTTCGTGTTTAGAGCTCCATACTTGCTGTATATTTTGATAAGATCACTCTTTGAAGGCAATAAAGAACCCGGGCCAAATGTCACAAACAGGGCAGTAGGTGAAGCTTTTTCACTGGTATCCACATCATTTTTCTTCATATCAGGTCCCCTGGCAGCTTCCATGATTTTAGGCTTCTCTGACATGGTTTCCTCTTTTGTTTTCTTATCTGCTGCCCTTGTTGCTCGCTTACTTTTGGGCTCATCCACTTTCACCTCTGCTTCTACAGAGGAACCATGAACAGTCTGGTTTTGGCCCTTTCCAGAAAATGCTGATTCAGAGTCTGTTGATTTTCTCTTTCTATGAGATTGACTCTGCTTGTAAATTTTGTTGTTGGAACCATTGTGGTAGACTGAGCTTCTGAATAGAGACAAAAATCCCTGAGCGATGTCAAAAGAGTTGCTTTCCTTCGGATATTGTGGACTGAGAGCTGCAGAACGAACTTCAGTTAGAACTTCCCTGGTAGGTGCGTTAACTTCCTCAACATTGATCAAACTATCCTGAATTTCTTTTGGTGTTTGAGTTTTGACATCAGATTCATCATGTTGTAAGCCAAACTGTTCAGGGAGCTCCTTCTGAATTACTTCTCTGCAGCTTTTCCCCATTAGAAGGGAACCGGGATGGTTGCAAGAAGCTGTAGCCATCTGCTCCCCTAACTGATCCTCCTGGGAAACCTTCAAGGGTTCTGCCTCTACATCAACATTTCTTTCCCTACCAATTGGACTTGTATAAGGAGGTGATAAGTACTTGCTCTTCTTCCTCTCTCTTGATAAAGCACCCTTCTCAACTAGTTCCTCAGTTCCAGGATCATTGCATCCTGCACTCAAACCACCATTTTCTTCAACCCTAACACCATCATTATTAATGCTGGAACCTTTCCTCTTCTTCTTCCTTCCCATCAAAGAATGAGCCCCAACAGTTTCTTCCTTGGGATCAATGCCAAGGCTGCCAACTTTGCTCTTTTCAGCATTAAAGGAACTTGAAAGTTTGTTTCCTCTATTATTCCTTGATATGGAAATTGAATTGCTTCCACCATCAGCATTAATTTCACCACTGCCTTTCCTCTTCCTCCTGAATGATGAAGCTGATTTACCTGAATTTGTTCCCTCTTTCTTCAAATCTCCATTTTTGGCCCGGGCATTGACATCAGCTTCCAAAATTTCAGCTATGCTTTTCTGCTTCCCCTGATGCACCGTATCATCTGAAACATCTGGGCAGCATGACAAAGATTCAACAGTTTGGGCAAATTTAGGGCCAGCTGGAGAACAAAGCCAATCTTTTTGAACAGGCCCCTGGATTGAGATATTCATGACATTGTTATAATCACTTATATCCACTACCAGAGTGCCAGCATTTTCTTCAAGGCCTGATATAGCTTGTGGTTCTTTGAACAGAGGCAACTGATGAAACCCTTTTGCGTGATAAAATGCTGAAAGCCAGCCCTTCAACACCATGCAGTCCAGTGAACTGTTACAAATTGAAACAACCCTTGCAATGTGTTTCAGTTTACCAAGAATTTTCTCAGGTTCAAAGAAACCAATTGAAAGCTTTCCAATCCCTCTATCGGGCATTAGAACACCTTTCTTTAAACCAGCATTTGCTGCCAGCGGCCTGTCAAACTCACTAATATTCACTTTTGGCACACAAGAGCACGTCATCTTCCGCTCCACTAGTCTGCCAATGTCATCAACTGCCTTCTCGACAGCATTTAGAAAATTCTTCGAGTAACTTAGCTTTGAAAACTCCACAAAATTCTCTTCAAAAGGCTTCAACCGCGATGGGTGGCACCAAGCAAATGAATTATCGCCAAAGTATGCAACAAGGAGTCTGCCTCTCTTTCTCATCTTCGTTGCATAATCTGATGCATCAGATGGATCATATATCTGCCCCGGCCACCATGGATGACTCCTAATTTTACCCCACACAAAATCACCGACTGAAAATTCACACTCCTGATCATCATCATCTTCATCATCATCATCCTCTAATTCACCATTGCTCTTATTATCATCAAAATCTGTCCCTTCTTCCTCATCAAATTTATCGATTTCACCACGAATGTCCGCAGCATTGGGAACACCATGACCGCCATAAATGCCATTACCAGACACACCATTCTCAATTTCCATTGATTTGTTCCTGCCAACAACATCCAACAATGAGTCAAAAGGCTTGGCAATCTCAGCCCCACCACTAACACCCCCTTCTCTAACAGTTTCTTTCATTTTCAATAAACAAGACGCTCCATTCAGCTCAGAATCCTCAAGGTCCCCTTCTTCACCTCCACTCAAGTATACCTTCCCATCTATAACAACCCTACCCCTATCCTCCTCCACAGCAGACAAACCAGAGCTTTTGGAAGCTTCCTTTAGGGTTCCTGCATCTGGGTCTAGGGATTTAGCTCCTTCAGTAGTGGGAGCTCCCTCCCCCAACAAGGTTTTCCCCAGCTTTTCACCTGCCACCATTTTCAAGAAACCACCTTTATCTGAAAAAACAAAAAACCAACCTCAATCAACATATTCCACAACCGAACCGAAACCAATACGAAGAAAAAGAAATGTAAATCAACACATAACATCATCTCCCTCCCACTAAAAAAAGGGGCATTAAAACCCCACTAAACAAAAATACCCACTTCCAAAAACTCACAAAACAATTCCCCCATTTCTAATATAATATTATTAAACAAGAACTTCATGAGGGTATCGTATAGACAATAAAATTCCTGAAAAAAAAAGAAGAAGAAGATACCTGAGGATGAAGAAAATCAAGATTCAAGATGGGTTTCGAACTTGAGCTTTAAAGATTAAATCTTTATGCACAGAGTTAAGCCATGTTCAGATTTCTAAGAGATAGGAAGAGAGGGGAGAGGAATTGAATTCTAATTCTACAGGGAGTGAAAATAGTTTAGAAACGGGATTTGCAGGGACAGAGAAGAAGATACGAAAATCTCGCCTAAGGGAAAGGA